GGTTTCGCCTGTGCTCATTTCATTTGAATTGCGTCAAATTGTTGTGGCAACTTCTGTGGCTCTTACCGCACTTATGGCAGCAGCTCTTCGCTTTTGTTTATGCTTGGCGAAAAACAAACATTAAACACACACTCGCACACACACGCACACTACAAAATGTGTTCGATTGTCTAAAATCGTGGCATTTCAGCGATTTTTCACATGTCTCTGTCGAATAGGAAAAACAAATTTTCATGTTTACCCATTTGCCAGCGACGCGTCGCCTTGTCTGCGCCCCCGCACCCTCAAGCCGCTGTCTATCCCGTATCCCGTATTCCGTATGTCGTATCCCGTATCCCTAGTCAATTCGTATCCCCCTAAGCGTCTTGAGGTTCATTGAATGCAGTTGAAAACAAAAATTACATGCGAGCATTAGGAAAATCCACCCGCGAGACCGAGTGTCAACCTCATGGTTGCCCCAAGGGAGCAAGTCGAGCGCAAGATTTTTATTGCAATGCCCAATGCAAGGCCCCTCAATAGTGGATGCCCCTGCCTAGATGCCTGGGCTAGCTGTGCCCAGTCAATGCCAGACTCGAAATAAACCCATCGCCAATAAAGTGTCGCCAACAATTTAAATGACCTGTTGATGGATTCGAAAAAAATAAATAACACAAACGAGCAGGAAACAATTCCCAGCTATAGCAAAAGTGCCTTAGATATGCATATCTATACATATGCTGTATATATATATATATATATATATATATATATATATATATATATATGATTATATATCTTTATATGCATATGCTTCAGCTTGGGCAGATCTTGTAAATTTGTCAAATTCAATTTTTTGACCATAAAACTAATTTCCGTATTAATTATGATCTGTTTCCACTGCAAAAGCGCATTGCGAACATCATTTTCTAGAGTATTTCACATTTAACATTTCACATTTCTATTTTGGATTTTTATTGTGCCAACATTTCGAGTTAATCATGTTCCGAATGCAACTCGTTAAAAACAAAAAACACAAGCTTCAGATACGCGCAGTATCTGGGTTGCATGCAGATACAAATGTATCTAGAACATAAACTAGAGTCGTTGCAAGCCCATGCAAATGTCGAACGCATTTCAATTTTCTAATTTTATCAAACATCTAACAAATTCCATAAATTTGTGGACATTTTTCATATTTGTTGTCGGACACGTTCACCGATTGTCGGCTAATCAAATTGCTCTTTCAAATATTCGAGTGGGTTGCGGCCGGGAATAGAAAAGTGCAGCAGAAGTCCACTATTAAAAACAGATTAATTGATGTGCGCTGAAAACAAATCATTTTAGGGAATTGCAGCGCGTTTTTACTCAAAAAAAAAAAAAAAACGTTAACAGTGTCTTTACAGTGACTGTTAAGGCCATCAGACTGTATTCGCCAAGTCTTTAGATATTTATATAAAAGAAGCTCATCTATGATAGCTGTGGCATGCTTTTACTTGCTACAAAAAAGAATAACAGTGGCTTAACAGTATCGATGCATTAAATCTATCTAAAATTGTTAAATAGAGTTTTATCAGACGGTTAACATTTATGCTGTTTAGGCTAACTGCCCATATTTTCATGCCATGCCATGCTTTTATCTGCCACAACAATATTTACTTTATGTTAACATTGGCATGTTATCAGAGTTAACAGAGTTATGTGTTTCTGTATGTCCCAAAATATGGATTTTTTTGTGGACACTGTCGAAATTACATTTCGAATTATGAAATGTTTTTGAGCTGATTTGATGAGTGTTTAATGTGAGCCATAAAAAATGAATATAGCAGCTAGTGCTGATATGTAGTATGTAAGGTGGGGTTGATGGTGTAGCATAAGGGTTATGCTCAGGGGTAGGGGCTAGCATTGGAGGATGGGTATCTCTGGGTCTGCTGCCATTTGGTGCATTGTGCGGTGCATTGACACTGCGCACCTTTAGATTTTCTCAGGCCTTGTTTACAAGGAGGGCACAGAGTTGAGTGTTATGTAAACTAAAGCAGTTGTTGTTGTTGTTGTTGTTGCTGCTGCTGTTGTTGTCGCTGTGTAAACAAGTGACATCTGGCCATCCATCTAACAGGCGATGCCACAGCACTTATGAGTGCCCGCCCCTGTTTGGTTTGTTGTGACAATTGGCGCGGATGTAAATGTATCTGTATCTGTATCGGCAAACTGTTGTATCTCAATTAGTATCTTTAGCTAATGGTAGCAGTCTTATCTATGACTGAGCTGGGTCAGCCTTTGGCCATTGTCTCAGGCAGCTGCACGGTACACACGCACACAAATATGCGGCCAATCTGTGTGGCATTCCGCGCTAGCAGATTAGGCTAGCAAATTGTATGGAAGCCAATGGCGTGGCCAACAATGCGCCGCATCACAAAATATTTAATTAAATGCTTAATTACGCTTGCCATGCCATAAATTCATCAAATGCAATTTAAGCTCACACACACACACACACGCGCCCCACGACAACGAGGCGGACCGGCCTCCTTCTTGCCACCAACCAGCTGCATGCGTTAATGTGCAGATGCAGATACAAAGATACAAAGAAACACAGATACAAGTACTTTGGGCTGCCAGCGCAGCGCATCTCGTTTTCATTCATTAACAGAGTTCGACCAAAGCTGAGCACCCTGGTCGCCGGGTTAAACGTTATGTGCCATAACTCTTCCAACTCGCCACCGAGTGGCGATGAATCCCGGCAATCTATGCAACTTGAAGCTGCCAAAGTAGCTGCACGCTCGTGAGTCGTGAGTTGTGTTTCACAGAGTGCAAAATAAGACTTGTGGACACACAAATTGGGTCAGAACCGCAAACTGTGCACGGCTACGCACTCTGCAAAGTTAGCATTTAACATTAACAATTATTTGCCAGAGCTTAGAGCCTAACATAGCCTTAACATAGCGTCACATTAACATTTCGCATGGTAACACAGGTCCGTTTTGTTAATTCTATTAAGTTTCTAAACAATAAACTTTCGATATTTCAGAATGAGAATGTTTTCATAAAAAACTTATGCTGTTAATTGCACGGCTGTTAACGTCACATTAACATCACGTTTGAACAATGATAGTTTTACAAACTTTACTTTTTTTTTACCATCCTTAACTTAAGCTGACATATTTTACGATCAATAACAAGAAGTATCGTCACACTGGTAACGTCATATTAACATTATTGATCGAAAGAGAAACCCTGTAGGAGCCCGCCCAACATGCCGTTATTGCTTTTAATTGCAGAGAAACTTTTCCTGTATATCGCTTTAACTCAATGGAGAATCAGTGGTCAGGTCAATGGGTCTCCATTTCCATGCCCACACACTCACGCACACTCACGCACACGCACATATACACTCGCACACACATACATGCGCACAGTCTCCGGGAGATAGATACGCATGCACAGTACACGAAATTGACAAATAGCAGTGAAAATTTAGCTTTTGAAATGAAAACGAAATGCGAGCAATTATTTTTAATTGAAAATGTCAAACATGTTGGCTGCTGAAAAGAGTCGGCCAAGTCGTCAAGCAGCCCAGCCAAGTCTCGCGACCAACTGCTACCCAGCGAATGTATCTTACAGATACAAATACGCATAGCATACGCTGCAGTGCGTTATGCTTCAGAAACTCAAAAAACAAAAAAAAACTAAATAAAAACATAATAGTGTAGAACGAAAAAAAAACGTGGAAAACTTATTAGGAGCGTATGCGTCGCGGCACTTGAGGGCCACTTTTGTGCGGCAACGGGACGCAATACCTTGAGCGGAAATGCGATAACCCTGAGCGACGGGAAATCGAAGCAACATAAAACAGAGGCACCAGCTACAAATTTGAGAGGGTGGGGGGAGCTGAGGCAATCGCGTACATCATGATTGATTTGGAAAGCTGCAAAGCTGAGTGGTGGGCCGGTTCATATGCATACATCATGATTGATTTGAAAGACTACAATACTGAGGGGGGACTGGGACAATGCGTACATCAAGACTGATGTGGAAAGCCACAAAGTTTGTCGGGGTACAACTTCATATGCATACATCAGGATTATTTTGGAAGACTACAAAACTGAGGATGACTGGGAAAATCCATACATCATGATTGACTTTAAAAGACACAAAGTTGAGCGGAGGGCTACTTCAAAAAATGGGAGGGACTGGACAATTCATACATTACGATTGATTTGGAAAGTAAAAAACTTGGACTGTGCTTCATATGCGTACACGATTGATTTCGAAGAAATTGCAGGATGGGTCGGCATAGTACATCATTGGTACGCGAATACATCATGCTTGATTGAGACAGTTACAAATTTGCGCCTAATTGATTTAAATACTACAATATCGAAGAGAGTGGCAGTACATTATTGGTACCGCAATACATCATGATTGATTTGGCGAATTTCAGAGCGTACTACTAGTCTATGGCTAGCTCTTACCAGATAGCATGGGCGCCAGCGCAATGCCATTGGAGTCCTGTTGCTGCTGCTGTTGCTGCTGTTTGGTGGTCAGCTCCTGCTCCTGCTTCAGAGCGCTGGACTTGCCGGGCACACAGCCACCGATGGGCTTCTTGGATTTCCACAATTTCATATTGTAAAGTCACAAGCTGCGAGTGTTTCGAATGGATTTCAACAATTGTGGTTTAAATATGGGTGCTATGTGCAGATTGAGGGGACATTGTTCTGGCCAGGGCTTGGCCCTCGAGTACGCCCAATATGCACTATATCTTTTTATAAACTATCAAGAGCTGTGCACTTGGACTGCGATATTTGGTTTTGCTTTTCCGATTTGCGCTGCATAATAAGAATCCCAAATAAATACGATAAATGCACCAATGAACAGCGGCCGCACAATAATAAAAAAAAGGAAAAATAAATGAAAATGTGGAGCACACACACACACAGACGCACACAGAGGAGGCGCGCGCGTGTATTTAAAAATTGAAATTGTGACGCCTCGCGAGGGCGAAGCAGCGAGCGCGCGTTTGTTGAATGACGACTTCTGCTGCTTGTGGCAGTGGCACGTCCGGCGTACACGACGAGAAATTGCACAATGATTCAGAGGTCCGCCAGTCGCCGGCAGCCCGCTGTACGCTGGCCGATCTTACAGTTAGTTGCCTCGCAGTCGCAGTCGCGGCCGCAGTCGCAGCGCATCGGCACGTCGCGTGTATCTTGTAGATACGCAACAGCAAGCAGGCGCTCTGCCGCTCTCTTACTATCTCTCTCTTTCTCTCTCTGGGTCTCTGTGCCTGTGCATTTCTCATTTTCCCGGCCATGAATTTTCATTCTATGCTCAACAAACTCTCAACCACTCTCGCTCTGGCACCGGCTCTCCTTTCGTTTGTGCCGAGTTCTTGGCGAGTTTTACCCTGCGCCCCTCAAGCACTAACAAAATCCAATAAGAATGCTGCAAGTGTGTTGCATTGACTATCAAATAGCCTATACAAAAGAAAATGAGCGTTATGAATATATAATATAACAGATAGTTTTAGCGATAGGTATCCTAGTAGTTAGTTATTTGCTTTCCCGAAACATGTTAAAGTTTCCCTGTTTAGTTGACGCTGTTAATGTTAATGGTTTTTTACTGTTATTGATGTTAAGATGAGGAAATAACAAGCTTATGCTATATTAATGCTATTAACATTTACGTTAGCATAACACACAAATGTTCGTAACAGAAGAAGTGAAATTATGCACATGCTGAGTCGAGTGTGTTTTCAATACACCCAGCTGGGGCTTAATTCAGGTAGGGTATCATTATGTTATAGGCCCATATGGAACATTTGTGCGCCTGTTGTGGAACAGAGGAAGCATTCGTATCGCATGCGAGTTTCTAATTGGAAAGCACTCAAATCAGTGCGAGAGACTCGACTGATGTGCGATATGCATGACAATGGAGCATCGGCGTTAGAGCCAACTCATCTGGCCAACTAGTCGAAATGGACTCAAGGGTTTGGCGCCTGGGACCGCACACAGAAGCGTCTGGCCTCCTTTATTTATTTCATATATTCTTTTAATTCGGCTGTTCGCACCGTAAGTCCGAGGCCGCCTGTCATGATGATGATGTCGCGAATTTCGCTAATTAGTCACGAAAACTCGCAGCTCGAAATGGTCAAAATGACCAAAATTGGCCAAGTGGCAAATGTGGTATAGAAAAAACCAAGAAGAAATACGGCAAATGCACATAAATTAACAGCAGCTGTATAACATCTGCTATGGGGTTCGACCTTTGGCAATGCATATGTATATGTTTAATCTATTGAGAAAAATTATGTTAAAAATTTGGAAAAAAAAGGTTGATATAAAGAAAGTATTCAAGATATATAGAAAGACTTTAAGGAACTTATTTATATATGTAAGACACTATCTTTAAGTTTTTTACAGCACTACGAAATGAAACCTGGAAGAAATCAAAAGTTATTGTGAATAACTTATTGCTGAAAATTTTAAAGATAAATACTAAGTATCTATAAAAACAAAAAGGCCCTTATATATAGAATATGAGCATTTTTATATTATTATAAAACTTGGCTTTACAATATCGCACTGGAGGCAGTCCATATGGCATGTTACCTTTTATGGGCACTTTTTCTTTATCCATTCAGTTGAAAATTATTGCCTCACTCTCGTCTAGAGTAGAGGTCGAAGCACGGATACATTTTTAATGGTATTTCGGTTTTATTTTTACGTGATTTTCCCTCTTCCTTCCCAAATCTCTTCCTCTTCCGCTGGCATTAGCATGTGACGACGAGGGGTGTGTCGTATCTGGCACATTTATGCAGCCGATTTAATGCCTTTAATGACCTCCGCTAATGATCGAAGCTGATTGACTCAACAGAATCGATGGATGGCATTTACCAATGCTATTTATTTTTAGGCTCTGCTTCAAGGCGTCTGCACAAGGTGTGTATGAGTGTGTGTGTGTGTGTGTGTAAATTTACATCCTAAAAGTTAGGAGCTCGATTAGCTTAGGAAAATATCTTATTGTGAACTGAACTGAAGTTCAATCTGGTCAAAAGATTCAATACTCACGAGTATTTCAAAAATATCGGGAATAGAATTTTCATATAGCATACTTTTAGTCAATGCTAAGTATAACTCAGACAAATAGGGTCAGATCTTTGACTGTAACACATCTTTTCCCTTAAAAATCTCGGGAAAACAAAGTCCGCTTTGTTAATGATATAGCATTTTAGACTAGTACGTAGCACAGGTATCGATTGTCAATGCAAAAAATCTATTTCTAAAAGAACTACATAACAAATTACTCCTAAAAATGGAAACGGTTTTGATATCAAACATATTACGGGAAATTAAATGCCCATTTGATAGTTCTAGCGATAAGTACGAAATACGACCATCGATTGGAATTATTATACAATATAAATATTCTTAATATTATATTAAATTCATGGACGAAACTTAAAGCAAAGGAATAGTTGAATATGCATATTATTCCCTTATCCCAGTTATATATTTCAAGTCCATTTCGAATATGCATGATGTATTAAACAATTATGATTCCACTCGTTTTTATCGACAATAAATAAATGAAAAGATAAAAAATAAAATAAATACATATTACATTTGCACAATGTCTTCAGTGCTTTGTACCAGTGTGCAGCCTTGAAAAAGCCCAGCTTAGTCTCTCATTATCGCGCTCTCCCTCTCCCGCTCGCTCCACCTGGCTTTCCGTTCTCACGCTCTCCTTACAGCATACATACCTGGTTAACCGTTACATGGAACGGCAGCCACAAAGAGTGTTAATTTTGCGACACATGCGCAGAATTCGGCAGTGCGTAAAGTGTGTTTGTTCAATTCAGAGATCGAAGTAACTCCAGGTCTCCATATGTGGCCATATATGTTATCAATGGAGTCGCTTTTCGTACTTCTATGTGTATTCAATTTCCTACAGGTAAGTGCCAGAAAGTGAAAAGAATAGAGAAGGAATATCTATGAGCTGCTTTTCCCACACAGTGTCAGGGACAGGACCAGGGAGATACTCCCATTGTTGGCCCGACGAGGCTGCTGCCCAGCGTTTGCCACAGGGATACCAACGGCAGCAGCTTGAGCGTGGAGATCCGGCTGCCGTTCATGGACATGGAGCTGCGTCATGAGCGACATTTGCATGTGCTGCGCGCCCAGCAGCTGCTGCTGGTGCTGCACGGGCACGAGCTGTTCCAGCTGCAAGTGGCCGGCCGGGACAAGCGGTTGGTGCGTCTGGGCGAGCTGACGGGCCGTGTGGGCCAGCAAGTGGCCAGCGCCGCGGCTGTGGTACTCTGGCGCCAGTATCTGCTGCTGGCCGTCGCGCTGCCGGAGTCGCTGGAGTTCTATCAGCTGGCACAGCAGGCGATGCTGGACGCCAACCAGCAGCACTTTGAGCCCATACAGGAGTTCGCTCTGGCCGGCAGCCTGCAGCAGCTGCATCTGCTGCAGCCCAATCCGGAGCAGGTGCTGCTGCTGCTGACCCTCAACGTTACGCAGAGCCAGACCAGATGCAGGTAGGCCCTTGGGCTCACTTCAAGATGCGCTCAAGTTTCAAGCCTTTTGATCTCCCTATAGAACCTACGAGTGGCTGGAGACGTATTTCAATCCCGTAGAGGAGCTCACGTTGCCCGCCCTCAAAGCGTTCCAGGTGGTAGGACGTCAGCCCCATTACATAATCACGGGACGCGCGCTGCGCGGCCAGTCCAAGGTAAGCCTCAAATACACTGTTCACAAGCTGCAAGCGGCTATATTTGTGGCCTCCCTGCCTCCACAGCTCGTGCTGACCATCTACGAGCTGTTGACGCCCACGCTGCGCCTGCTGCGCCGCCAGAGCCTGACAGTGCAGGCGCGTCACGTGCTGGCGGCACGATTCCGTGGCCGCAATCTACTCTTCGCCTGCGCCGGAGCCGGCGGCAACAGCAGCACGAGCAGCACGTGCATCCTCTTCCGCATGGTCGAGGGCCACTTTGTGGTGTACCGCAAGCATGTGTTGAGGCAGCTGCAGTTCAGCCACCTGGCCGCATCTGAGCTGGGCCAGCTGCTGGTCGGGGCCCGCGCCAACGGGCAGGTGCTGGTGTTCAATAGCCAACGCCTGGACTGCTACAGTGGCTTCGGAGCCGATCCCAATCCCAGTGGCATCTACACGCATCGCAATCCGCAGAACGAAAGCTTTCTGCTGATGTCCTATCGACGCCAGCCGAGCATCACATTGCTGCGCATGGTGCAGCTGGGCGGTGCCAACGACGCAACCATCCTGGCCGCCAATCTGGAGGGCAACGATGGTAAGCTGTGCTCGCCATTGTGGCTAGGTCCTTGTCTAATCCTGATTGCCTCAACAGATCTAAGCAGCGTGCAGCAGCATCGCCATGAGTTCGAGCAGTCCATCAATGGACTACGCAGCCTGCTGCTGCGCCGCAAGCAACAGCTGGATGCAGTGCATCAGCTGTTGGGGTCATTGGAGCAGCAGCACACGCGCAGGCTGACGCAGCCGCTGCATCTACGCAGCGGCTCGCACGTTCAGCTGGTGCAGCTGCAGGGCTCCCACTTGGCCAGTCCCATGCAGCTGCTGCGGCGCATGGAGCGGCTGCGTCAACAATATGGTCACGCCGTGGTCAGGCGCGGCACGCGTTCCTTTGGCGCGGGCAACGCCTCCTACACGGGTGCACAGGACACGCTCAAGGTGAACCGCTTGCACGTCCAGAACCTCATATACCAGGGCCAGCTGCTGCCAGGTGAGGGTTAACCTTCAACTTTTGGTTGCCAGCTTCAATCGCCTTCTACTTTCTTTCAGGCTATCATCTGGACTCGTCCAGCCCGCCCATTCTGAGCATCAAGGGTCAGCTGCTGACCAAGCGGCTCCATACAGAGCAGCTGCTAATCCCGCCCAGCTACAAGCGGCCAGAGCGCTCGCTGGATGCTCACACGGTGGTGCGACATCTCCAGGTGGAGCGCATCAACAATATCTCCTGGTTTGAGTTCTACGACTCGCTTTTTCTGCATTCGCGTGACAACGAGATCGAGGGACGCCTCGTTTTTCAAGCCCGCGCCCGGGTGGTCAATCTCCAGACGCCGTTACTCAATGGTAAGCTGGTGGAGCAGCTCTTCAATTTGAGGCAACCCCAGGTGGTGACCTCCAACATATTCATGTCCGCTTTCATTGCACCCAAACTGGACGCCAATCTCGTTAACGGCTTGAACTTTGCCAAGGACATTGTCTTTCGCGGTGCCAAAAACAACCTGATTAAAAGTAAGTTTCAAGTATTTACATACATATATACTAGCTGGTTTTTCACATGTCCACCAATTTTCCGACCACGGAAAACTCAAATTTACCCGGTAATTTAGTTTTTGTATAGAAAACTTTTTTGGTTTTTACCATATCTTGACCGAACATTTATAAGTTTTACTATGCTCTCTACATATATAAAAAATCTTATTTACATCGGATCACTATAACATATAGTTTCCATAGGTACGATCGGTCGATAATAAGATTATTGTATGAAAAAATTTTTTGTTTATAAACATATCTTGACTAAACTCGGCATTTAATAGTTTAACTATGCTCCTCATATATGAAAGAAATACTATCAATATCGAGTCACTATATCATATAGCTGTCATAGGAACTATCGGTCGAAAGTGAGGTTCTTGTATCAAAAACTTATTATTTTTCAAGATATCTTCACCATGACATTTTCCCTGTGCTTCTTAGATACGAGCAAAGCATTGTTATAATGCTCATTATAAAACGGTTGGTCGTTTTTACATTGATATTTGAAAATGGGTTTGAAGGTCAGGACAAATAGTTTTATATATAGACAATACATATGCTTGTGTATGAGTGAATGATCATATAACCATACCTTATCTTAGTAAGCTGATCCGTTGAGAGCTGTGAGTTATGTTATGAGAGAAGGAGAGAGAGAGAGAGAGAGAGAGAGATAGAGATAGAGAGGGAGGGATATGCCTAGTAGGCCACTTTAATATAGGCTTGCCAATCAAATTAGTCACAGCTCGAAATTTTAATACAATTTGTACATTTGAAATTCTCAAAACGAAAATAATATCTATATAAAAATGAATATGGAATACTGGACATTGATGATATATTTATTGATCTTGATAGCGCCCGTTCGCATTTACCAGATAAGCGTCTCGGGCGACATAATCGTGGAAAACGACAGAAAATCGCCACGTCAAATGGCCGCCGATCAGCGTCCTTTCAATCTGCAGCAATATTACAGGGGCAGGATCATACTGAACGGCTCCTTGACAGTTAACAATCTACAGCGGGACACGAATGAGACGCGCCTGCAGCTGGGCGGGCAATCTCTACGTGCACGGGACTTGCACGTGGATTACCTGTTGCTACAAACGCCGCAGGTGAGTAGAGGGTGAAAAAAGTGGCTCTAGCAGCTTGTGCAAATGCATATGCTGGCAGAGGGAAGCATGAGGGCAGGTGTATATATATAGCTATATATGTATATATTCTTGCCATATACTTGGTGTATTTAGGCAAATTCGTATCCACAACCGATCACTTTAGAATATAGCCCTAGGAAGGAAGAATCAATCGAAAATTGAGTTTTTGAGCGGACACCTTTTTGCTTTTCAAGATATTCCCGCTAAACCCAGCACTACTTAGCTTTAATGTCCACTCAGAATAGAGATTTCAACATCGAATACCTGTTTCATTTTTAAATTAAGTTCCAATAGAGAAACTTATCCATTTCTCTAGATTCATTAATCTGTTTAGCATCGAATTACTAGATCGTATAGCTCAGCAGGTAGCATGGGTCGATAGTTGATCTTTCCTGCTTTAATTAAGTTCCCATCTGCTTAGCACCTGGATACGCTGGCATTTGGCAATGCGAAGGTGACGACACGCGCCTTGAGCACCCACCACATCAATGGACATCCGACGGCTGAGCATCTGCTCAGCGGAGCTGGACATGAGCCAAGCCAAGCAGCGCACAGGCGGCTCCATTTGATATTCATGAGTGTGCGCATCGATGGAAATGTGTACTGTGGCAATTACAGCAGCCGTCTAGCGCAGCTGGCGAGGGATGCAGTGCATCAGGGCGAGACGGCCAACATAACAGGTCACAAAAGCTTTGAGGCTCCATTGCACGTGGACACGCTCTCCAGCCGAGCGCTAAATGGACTGCCCGTTCAGGAGCTGGTGTTGAAGAGTCAGTTGTCGCAGAACTTCACAAATCTCAAGCTCTTCCCGCGCATTGTGGTCAAGAGTCAGCTGGAGATTGGTCGCAATCTGACAGCCCTGCGCCTGAATCATATGGAGCTGTCGCAGCTGCTGCAGCCGGCGTATAGCCTGCAGCGCCTGGAGCTGCCGCAGATGCCCAAATTGCAGCAACTGATCTTTCGGCGTCTCAATGGCCTGGCCTTCGATGAGCTGCTGGGCAAGCTGAGCTCCGCTGACGGCGAGCCGGAGCAGCCGCTGCTGCTCCACAAGCAGCTCATCATCGAGGGCAATGTGCGCTTCCAGCGGCCACTGCAGCTGCGCACTCTGAATGCCATCCACTGGGACGAGTATGTGAAGAATCTAGTGAGCGCGAATGCCAATAGCCTAATCCTGGGCGAAAAGCGCTTTCTGGAGCCGGTGCTGATCACAGATGCGCTCCACGCGCCGACCATAAATGGCCTGGATCTGAGTGCATTGCTGGAGAATACGCTGCTGCGCACCACGCCGCAGTCCATTGGCGGCGTCTATAGATTTGCGCGTCTGACGGCGAGCAATGTGGATGTGGCTCAGCTGAATGGCGTGCCAGCCAGCAGCTTCTTGGACCTGGGCCAGCCTTTACTTGAACTGCAGGGTGATCTCTATGTGCCCGAGCTGCAGCTCAATGGCAGCCTCAGCTGTGCCCTACTCAACGATCCGCTGCCACGTCTGGATGCCCAGCTGGCTGCGCTGCAGCAGCGCAGCTGGCGTCGTCTCATGGTGCTAGGCGATGCGCTGTGGCCCGAGGCCTCCGATTCGCAGCAGCAACAGCAACAGCTGGACTATCTGCGTCTGCATGCGGTGCGTCGTCGCGCCGCCAGACAAATCATCTCCGGACACGTCATCCTGCAGCAGCCGCTGCTGGGTAATTTGCAGGCCGGTCAGAGCTTTCCCGGCAGGCTCAACATTAGCCACATAGCTAAGGATGCGCTGCTGCGTCGGAGTCCAGTCACGCAGCTGGTAAAGGCGCCGCAGACAATGCTGCAGGAGGTGCGGGCGCGCTCCATTCGCCTGCTCAAGGATGGCCAATTCGAGCTGCTGAACGGCATCGATCTGCGCCGGCTGAATGCCTCGCTGTATCGCCGCTCCAGCGGGCAGCCAATGGGCGCACAGCTGCGGTTCCAGCTGCCACCGAACATAACGCAGCTCCGGCTGCAGGGCGGGCTCAATGGTGGCCACCAAGTGGCCAACATCTACGAGCAGTCGCCCGGCGGCATATGGCCGGCCGTGCAGTTGAGGGAGCTGCAATTGCAGCAACAGCTGCAGCTGCACGAGATCAACGGCATGAGTCTGGAGTATCTGCTGGAGCAGCGTGTGCCGCTGCGTGGCGCCGCCTTGGAGCTATTCGACACGCTCCACTTTGAGCGGCTGGTGCTCGGCGAGCGCCCAATGCTGCGCACCATCAATGGCATCGATCTGCAGCGCGTGGTCTACAAGCACGGGCAACGGCCGCAGGCCGTCGGCGGCGCCAAGACCTTTGCCAGGGGCATCGAATTCCAAGGGCCCGCCCACATAATGCGCCTCAATGGCAGGGATCTCAGCGAGAGCTACCAGCAGAGCATCTACACGGATCGCGACTACAGCATCGATAGCCTGGTGCTCGATGGCGCCAGCTTTCCGGGTGGCCTGCTCGCAGATGCGGCGATGGGTGAATCAAGGCAGGCGCCGCAAATGGAGCTGGAGCTGGGACACCGCCCACTAAACGCACGCGAGCAGCTGCGCCAGCAGCTACAAGAACTGGAGCAGCAGCTGCAGAGCAATCGTGCGAATCATAGCCAGCGTCTACTCTATCTGGACTATGAGCAGCTGGGCCTGGAGCTGACTTGGAGCGCGCCCGCCGCTGATGAGATCCTGCAGCTGGTGGCTGCCCAAACGCCACAGCCGACCGGCATCTGTCAGCTGCAGCAGCTGCTGGCGCAGCTCTCCACGCGGCAGCAGCGCGTGCACCTCACCAACGTGAGCCTGGCCAGCCGCCTGCTGCGCGCCAGCTCCGGACGAGCTGCGATACGCGTCAAGGCGCAGAACTACTGCAACCAGCCGCTGCAGCAGTTCCGCAGTCGCATGCACATCAGCTGTCGCGGCCACGCCCACACGCTAGGGCTGCGCCAGCATGTGGAGGCACTGCAGCTGCACGACCAGCAGGACTACAGCCTGCTGCTGATCAGCGGCACGGACGAGGTGCGTGTGCTGCGAGTGAATCATACGAACTGCAGCCTCAGCGATTGGCAGTCAGTGCAGCCCGTCTCGGCTGGCCGCCTGATGAAGCTGCTCCAGCTGAATGGGAATAGAACGCTGCTGCTGACCGGCGGACTGCAGCAGCCTGAGCATCTGCCCGTTGTGGCTGTGCATCGCCTGGACGCGCAGAGTCAACGCTTTGAGTTGCTCCAGCACATCGAGGGTGACTACGATCTGGCCGAGCTGCAGTCGGATCAGCTGCTGCTCAGCTGTCACACCTGTCGCCACATTTCTGTCCATGTCTTCAGTCCGGATGTCGAGCAGTTTGTGCCGCTGCAGCAGCTCCGCTTGGCGGCGCGCATCCAGCAGCTGTTGCCCTTCAGCGTGGCCCAGGAGCGCCACCTGCTGGTGCTGACCATGTCCGGCTCCAAGCATTTCTATCTCTTCAGCTACGCCCACATCGAGGGCTGGCAGCAGCGCACCTATGGCCGGCACATGTCCGATTTCCAGTGGTCCTGGACGCTGCTTCGCTCCGGGCAGGAGCTAACGACCTCGGCGCCCATTCTGCTGCTCTGCGGCCAGCGTTTCTGCAGCCTGGTGAAGGCTCTGCTCGACTAGAGCCTGTTTAATCTAGTTGCTACTCTATGGAAAATAATTTTGTTTAGTCTTTGTTTGTTTAGTTATCATTAGTTGCATTCTGTTCAATTTGACAGCTTGTTGTGAAAAACGTTGTTAAATTTTTCTGCATTTCCTAACTGCATTAAATTGTTAATTGTTAATCAAATAAATCGTTCAATATTTGTTAAACATTGAAGGAATAAATATATATGTGTATATATTTAACTGGAATACAACATGTTTTCTTTCAATCAGCTCAATTATTGAAATTCAGTATATTCTATAAAGATCTTTTAATCACATTCTCCACTGAGGAGGCTTGGATTCTGGGAAAACTGTGCAGCACGTCTCAAAAAAGGTTTCTCATATTCGTTTTTCGCGATTTTTCCACAAATGCGGGTGGAATTTCCCAAAACCCCGTTATTGCTTGCCTCCTCATGTGAAATTAACTGTTAATGCATAATATAAAAATCGATTTCGTAATTAAAAACAAAGCACATCTTTTGTATATTATGTATATATAGAGGCGATCCATTTAATAGGGGCGCTCCCTCAAATCTTAACTAATTATTTTTAAAACTTTTGTACCAAATGCGATATCAATTACTTTATGTACACAAAATATCATATAATCTGATAAAAAAAAAGAATGCGTTAAGGTTTAAAATTCCAAATAAAATATGGAAAATGCATATCAATTGTTTATTCTACCTATAACTGTACATATATGAAATTCCGTACATATATTTATTTTAAAAAAAAAAAAAAAACAACAAAAAAAATATACTTATATGGGGTAGTGCCTAAAATCTCTATAAAGATTTTTTGAGAAAAAATAATTATATATGTTTTATGGGCAAAGAAAATGTATGTAAAAAATTGGATTTGTCAATTTGAATTCAGTGCCAGCCAATCGAATTCTCACATATAGATATTGCCGGCATACCCCTAATAGCGATTATCACATTTCAAATATTTGTTTTTTGAAAACAAACAAAGTGGCTAACGAAAGCTTTGCAACCAGTTTTCATGTCCACAAACCTAAACGAATTCTAGTCGAAACGCCGATCGGACGACGCTCACGAAATGAAGCTCTTGCGGCTGCACTTGACCACATAGATGGTAAAGACGAGCAGCCCCAGAATGCCCCAAATGGAGCTATTCTGATTGGTGCCATTGCCAGTTTGAGCCAGTATCCAGTCCACGTGGCTGGCAACGTCCACGAAGGCGGATGACTTGCTGCGCAGGCCGAGCAGCTGATTGGACTTGGTCAGCGGAGCTCCTGCATCCAACTCGTAGGCGGCATTCTCCGCCTGGTTATCATACTGCACGCACAACTGCTGCAGTTCCTGGCAGGGCGAGGGCTGGACACGCAGCCTCAGCATTTCGTGCAGCTCGTGACCATCATCGCCGGACAGGCCCCAGCTGCTGATGTGCCAAGGCGCCGGATCCGACTCCAGGTGCTGTGTGTCCACGGGCAGCGATATGGGCTGTATGCGCGTCTGTTGGGCGGGCACATCCTGATCGAGCATAAGTATGGCCAGGGACAGCTGCTTTGGCGGCTGATACACATGGGTCACACCATACACCTGGGCATGTGCCGTCGGCGCGAAGCGCTGCGTGCTGCCCAGCACGACGCGCAGCTCGGCGGGATGATAGAAGCTCTTGTTGTCGTTTCTAAAAGGCAGGTGTTTCAAAGTGGGATTAGTCTCGATCTGACGCCGATCAAGTATTCTATACCTACTTGTATAGGCAGTGGGCTACTGTGAGCACCACAGAGGGACCCACGAGTGCACCCGAACAGATGTGACCCTTTCCAAAATAGTCCAGCTCCTGGTCAAGCAGTCGTATGGAGGCCTGGTAAGGTGCTCTTCGCCTGCCAGCCGCTGCATTGGACGTGCCTATGCCGCGCTGTTTTGCCAACTCGCGATGGGTGAAGGCTGGAGGCGGGTGTGAAAAGATAAATGCAAAGATCAGAACTGAAGGACTTGACTAGGATATACACAAACATTCACGATTCCTTTTATAAATAAATGCATAAATGCTTATTCATCTCTTTGCTAGGCAAAAAACATATTTTAATAAATTCGGTGCTTATTGTCCGATCTGCTTCAACTTTTCGTACGGCATCCTAATGAGTGCATATACTAAAGGGCATTTCGAAGGAAAAGCCGGAGGGTATCCATAATATCTAGCTCTAATTATCTGCGAACTATGCTTCAAAAAAAATTATTCAAAATCGATATTTATCGATGCAAAGATAAGTTAATGATCGTTCTCCGTGTGGTGTAAGGGTATATATATTTATTATTTCCATTTTCGAACTATTGTTGTTTCCAAGATCAACCCCAATAATTATCAAAATATTATCCGATGGGTTTAATTCGAAGCACATAGTGCTGGCTTTTTCTTTCATAAAATAATTTTCGTATAATATAAGAAACCCATTTTGCACTCTTAACAAACTTTGAACTTTGTTTCTGCTTTTGGCTAATTTTGAGCAGAATCAAAGTCTGGTGAAAAATTGGCCTTGGCAACGTCGCCAATGCATTTTATATGGTGTGATCCATTTGGCTTATCACTATCGACGCGAACGCATTCCCCGATCAGCTGATCGTCTCGTTATAGTTGTCGTGCCACCCATTGTCAGGGGTATTAGTATTATCGTTGGGAACGATATCGCCCACTCTTGAGAGCTCGACGCGCGTGTTTTATGGTACTACCTGTCCAATAGTTGTTGGTCAGAACCACGCCGGAAACTATGAATTGTTTTTTTTTTAATTGGCCTTGACTTTTCTAATCTGTCACAAACTAAAGCTGCAGACACAGTCGAGCATGGCTATAAGGACACGTTTGCAAAACTATATTAAGTTGCGAATTTATGATATATATATTTATATTTATATACATATATATGGTAAAGATAAGAACAGTTATCATAGTTTCTTTGAAATACATAGAAATAATATATCTGGTATATCTAATTAAAACTTATCACAATGTGTCTGGGTTTTACTGCGGCGGAGTTGTTTCTAAAGATATCCCAACTATTTTTCGTCAAAGCTATTTTTGAAGTCTTGCAAAAGTAAACATCTACCTAGAAATCGTACGTTTTCAGACCAGAGTTGGGCTCGTGTAATCATATAAAATCAGAAATCGTGAGCGATTTCTAAACTTATTTTTCAAAAAGGCACGAAAAATCCAATGAATGCATTAATGTTTTTTAAAACTAAGAAATAAATAAATATTAGCTAGTTAATAATAGATGCTATAAAACATGTATTTTCTTTTTAACATGTATGCACATATACTTAATATTTTGTTTTTTCTTTTCTTATACTTTTTTGCATTTTTAAAGAAAGACTCGACACAATCTAATCCCATCTTGAATAATCAACTCAAGTCTCTAAGCTCGATCTATTTTCGTGTAGATTCTTATCTATAGGAAAACTAAATACGAATAACATACATTTGTAAATCATATATGTATATTATGTCTATGTCTCTTATAACTGATGGGAAAATTCCAAGTTTCAAAAAGAAAAAATTCTATTTTTTCTATTTCTTGAAAACATACTATATACTTTATACAGAATATAGGTAGCCTAACTTTAAGGAAGAACTTAACAGTACTCGAGATTTAGAGAGTTGGTTGAACCGATCTTAAATCGATCTTTAAATGAATCGCAACTTACTTGTCTGCATTTCGGTGCACAGGAATGCAAATATCAGTATTTTGATGATCCGCCTTAGGTGCTCGTTGAGTTGCATTGCTGAGAAGTCGAACTGGGGATTAGCCAATTAATTAATCCAGATGGTAAGACACTTGTTCAACTTGGTAGAGCCGCGTAGATAGTGCGCACCTTGATAGAGCTCCAAACGTTGAATGAAATAATTCACTTCTAAAAAGTACGAAAGCAAATTCGCAACGCTTTTCCCTTAGATTATTCAATTTTGTTTTGATTTCGGGCGATGTTTATGCTTTTGTTTTTGTTGTTCGTGTTTTTTATACTCTTACAGAGAGTATTCGACTTTTGTCACAACCTTCGTAGGCCCCTAAAGCAAATATATTCCCGAGCAGCATCAAGAGCCGACTCAATCTATTCCTATCTGTCTGTCTATCTGTTTTTAATGCATATTATAAAAATAATATAAAGAGCTCTCAGATTTAAAGCAGGATCGTATCACTATACCCAAAAGTATATCACTCAGTCTTATGTTTTCTCCTTGATCAAACTTAGCTTTTGCGAGCTCAACATGAGATACACCTTATCAAGACCGTGCTGCCATATCATATAGCTCAAGATATCTTAACCAAACCCATATCATATGGCATATAGCATTTCAAATACAGAAACAATCGATTGGGATATGAGGCTTTTTGTCTAAAGGCACTTTTAAGCCATATGCCACAAGGGTATTTACTCTTCGACATGCCACAGATAGAGGTTCTTTATTGTTTTTCCTTTTTTTGTTTATATTTATTGATAAAGTCACAACATTCGAGCAACGCCATATAAAGCACGCACACACTCACGCACACACACGCACACACACATGGAAACTGACATAAGCGCTTAATGATAAGACCTCTGATTATTTATTAATATTTTCTTTTTTTCTTCGATTTTTCATTTTGTTTATATTAATATTTAAATTGCGATCAGTGCATTTGCAGTTGACACCCTGGTATACCCTGCCCTTGGGCATTGATGATAATTAAAAAGGAAGCTTAGGCAGGTGCTTAGAGAATATCTTAAAGGAATACCACAGCAAACATAGCTTGCTCTAGAAACGTGCACCTGTACTTGGCGTACCCACTGATAAGACAGATTTGTACGTCTATAAATACCACTGTGTAGGGTATTTGGCATTTGGCTTATTGTTTTTTTAAACTCGTATTTATCAGTAAGACTAAATTTTAATTTTAGACGCGTGCGTTAATTTCTGTTACTAACTGAAACGCAAAATGCGAGCCTAAAAATAAACCACGGCTAATAGCCGAAGCATAATAACAGCTAATTAACATGCACATAACATACTAATGTTACCAACAAGCTGTTAATAACAGCGTGTTGTTTATATAGACAGCTGTTAAGCAGTCTTCACAAATGTTAGCTTCTTACATTACACGATGAGTATCAATTTATAGCATGCAATATTAATTACATAAATAACATGCAGATAACATGTCAATGTTAGTATTTATAACAATCAGTGATTTGTGAACAGCTGTTAAGAATTTCTGAGAAATTTCAGCTTCTTACATTGGCTTGCATTAAATAAATAAATATCCGATTACAACAGAGACGTAAATGTTTCATAAATTGTGAGCCAATCCAAGGCTGTAAACTGGGTTTTGAGCGAACCATTCAAATCGGATTCTCGAATCGATTATACTATAAGCCAAGCCTAAAATATTCCATAAACATTTGAATGTGAGACAAAATCGAGTTTTAAAGGTGCATAAACTGATAAAAAAGAGAACTATTGATGCGATCGCCGAACCGCCGGGTCCGCAGGCAGTGGCATATCTTATACAAATGTAGATATCAAGACAGCGCGTCTGTGTCGCAACCCCTTGACCTTGAACTTATCACCAGCTACTTCCCGGTGGTGGCAGTACCTACAGAACCATCCCACAATGCAAACTTTCGCAATACTTGGCAAATGTCAGTCACATGCAGCGCGCATGTTTCTGAGGCACGTCTATGGAAATTGACAGGCCCGACGATTACATAGCCGAACTGCAATTAACTAGCGATTGCTGCTGCCTGATAAGGTTTTGGAACTGTCCAATACCAATACCAACCAACTGGCAGCTATGTATGTGACAGCAAGTCGACTTGGTTATACCCTGTAGCCAAAGCCAGTTAAGCGAATGTTCTTATTTGATAAGAATATAAATTCTTAGACAACTTTTTGGCTTTTTGATTATGAGACTGAACATGTACCAAAAGGGTTTTATCTGGAACAATAACAACTATATATATATATATAGAGCATATATAGCATGGGCAACAGATAAGTGCTGAACAATATATAGGGAAATAGTGGCAGGTCTACTCTACCTTATCACAACAGAATTATACTCATTAATTTTTTGCCCATTTTTATGATTAAGTTAGAAATCCCATTTCTGATTTTCCCCAAACATTATCTTTAGTGGTTCTCTATCCGGATTGAATTTATGGCTGATATATATTTAACCCAGCTGAGGAATTGGCGAGCAAAACAAATCGCCGTTGGCCTTTGATAATTGCGTCTTAAACTATTTTCGCGTTTTCGATTTGAAGTACATTTAATTTACGTTGTCTTTTTGGTCTTATAAAGTGTTTCATCTTATCAACGATCCATACTCCAAAATGGGTTATTCCAACGCGTCCTAAAAGTATGCTATGATTCATGAGTTGTCTCTTTATAAATGAACGTGTATGTGTGTGTGTGTGCTTCCGATTCGCTCTAGAAGTAGCATAGGCTTAGCATGAAACCTAGGTGGAGTATTGTCCTGTATAGTCCCTCGAACTTGGTGCCAGATGATCTGGCAATATCCTCGAACTCGTCCGAGCGCATGAGATCGCTGTGGCCATACTTTGGATTTTGGGGACCTTGCAATTGATAGCTCGCAATGGTATTGTCTATCCAATGCCTGTAGTGTGTCACATTGGCATAGACACCGGGAATTTGGGGCATGCCGCACCTGATGCCCCATGAGCTGATGCCGACCAGCTTGCCTTCGCAGAGGAGCGGCTCACCCGCATCGACGGTGCATCCATCCAGCTGATCCTTATTCGCATTGCTGGCACACATCATGCCTGGGCGCAGGAATTTCTCGATTAGATTGGAGGCACGCTTGCAAGCTCTCTCATCGATGAGCGTCACATTCAGCCTAATCATCTCGCCCAAGTAGTACTCCATTTGACTGTTGTTCCAGCCTCTGATGTGGCACGTGGCATCCGGCTGAGCGGCCGCCTCGGGCAACTGGATGGGCTGCATGATGAACGGCACTGTGGCGTTCAGTATGATCAATGCGATGTCCTTGTCGTAGGTGCTTGTATCGAACTTGGTCATGTTCATCAGCAGCCACTCCAGCGAAAAAGAAAAGGTTTGCTCGTCGCGTACGAAGCGATGCTGGCTTCCCAGCACCACCAGGAACCGCGATATAGGCAGAAAGCTGCCATCGTACCTGGTCCGGCTGTAGGAGAATAACACAGGATCAGATGCAACGTCTACAGCCCAAAACCCAGTTAGGACCTACTCCACAAAGCAATGCGCAGCGGTTACCACCACATTGGGACTAATGAGCGCACCACCGCATACATGTCCGGACCCATAGCGAAAGGTTTCCTTGTGCCGCTGGCGCAGGGACACATAATACTCGACTGGCGCGTGATCGGCATATGTATTATTGTCAAGGATCTGCATGGAAAGCTGATGGGCGCCTGGTACTTCGGTTGTGTTCAGCTCAGCCTTGGTCATGTCCAGCGTGGTCCAGAGCAGGATCAGCAGCAACAGTATCACACTTACCTTACCGCCCGAATTCACGTATAACAAAAGATCCATATCTTCCAACTTCTGTATACAAAATATAAACTGAGAACTTTAAGCTAACTTATTTACCTATATATTAAAAACCTTATGCAGAAATTCATGGCATACTACGCTCAAGCTATATTAAGATCTCGATTTTGAAGCCTTCGAAACGAACGGGTTCCGCAGTAGTTGAGCAAAAATATCTTCATTTCCTTTTGGTTCTGTCTGACTCTTGGCTCTTCCTCACATTCTGTTAAGCTCCCCTTCGTAGCCTGATATTTATGAAACCAAAAAAATATTCCTTCCATACATACATATATTTACTTGGATCATGAGCAGGGGGAAGGAACAAGCCCTTTTAGCAGAACGGCAACAAATGCCAGAAGATCCTTTCATAGATGCATCCAAGGCTATCTTGATCCAAAGATCTAACTGAAAACTTTGGATAACCCTTATAGAGGTCAGGACCAAAAGTATCTTTCTTTACCTTTCTCAATTACAATGCTATGCTATGGCCCAATCACATGTGTGGCTTCCTTGTTGGTTTTGGGAAGCAGTTCTTGATGACCTAATAACATCTGGTCATTCATCTTAGCCTTAAAGTTTATATATTGACAAAAAAACAAAACAGAATTTTAGCGTATCGTTATTTTACAGTTAAGAAAAGTGGCTCAGGCCAAGCAGCACGGGCACCGCCACACTCAGAGCATAGGTAACTGTGATTATAGCGACGCCATCGTCGCCGCCCTCTGGGCTGCTCTCCGTGGTGGTCTCTGTGCTGCCCTCCGTGGTGGTCTCTCCACTGCCCTCTCCGCTGCCCTCTCCGCTGCCCTCTCCGCTGCCCTCGCCGCTGCCATCTCCACCATTTGCCTCGGAGATTTGCTCGATTATCCACTCGTAGTAGTAGGACACCTCGGTGTAAACACCTGGCAGGTCAGGCTGAGCGCAGCCAATGCCCCAGGAGACAACGCCCGCCAGCTGGCTCTGGCAGACGAGCGGTCCGCCGGAATCGCCATTGCAGGCATCGCGCTCACCCTCCATGTACCCGGCACAGATCATCCCGGGCAGTATTAAATGACCCAATCCACTGTCGTTGATGCACTGCGCATCGCTGAGCATGGGCACATCCAGGGTCATGAGTACATCGGAGCCGTAGCCCTCCTCGGTGGTGCCCCAGCCAGTTACCTGGCAGACGGTTTCCGCAGGTACGGCCAGGGAGCTCAGTGCAATGGGACGTATGGTGGGATGATTGGCGGGCACTGAGCCACTGAGAATAAGCAGGGCAATATCCTTGTTATATGTGGTCAGATCAAAGATGTCCAGCTGCAGGATGAGCTGATCAATGTCAAAGGTTAGAGTGTTTGCCGTCTCGAAGCGATCCAAATTGCCCATAACCACAATAAAGTCCTCCTTGGGCAAAAAGCGGCCATCGTAGATTACCTGACTGTAGGATGAAATCAATGAATTAGTTGTAGAGATCGGTTAAGGGGATTACATATAACGATCAAGTAGCTAGATTAGCTAATCATGTCGGCAGTAAGACTCGAAAATGTCACAAAAAACATTGAATTTGGGTTCAAAATTAAGAATTTTAATAATGCCAATCAATAGCCATGATCCGTACGAGTCAAAAATGATATATAATTTAAATTTCGGACATTATCGGACAGTGCAAATTCCTATAGAGAAATAAGCTTAAGCAACACATTGAGTTATACATCTTAGGATGTATATTATATATATTATAGGCTATCAGTTATGAGGCTCAGATTGAGGATCTTAAATGGTGATCAGATATGATGATCGGACTTAAGTATAAAACTGAGAATCTGCTCTAGCGATCCAAATATCGGTTGAAGAGGCCGTTTCGAGTCTGTTATCAGAATCAGTCGAAATGATGAATGAATGAGTAACTATGAGTAATAGGTGAGGATCACTTGCAAAGATAATAGAACGGATCAGTTGTCTATTATCGATAACACATGTAAATAGTAATAAATTTTGGCTAAGGAGCTGCATTGCGATTGATTTAGCTATGAGGATCAGCTGGGAGTTATCCCGGACACTTACTCCACAAAGCAATGAGCCGCGCTGAGAACCACATTTGGCCTGATCAGGGAGCCGCCGCAAATGTGGCCCGTGCCGAAGAAGTAGCCATCGTTGAGGCGACGCCGGAGACTGACCTGATGCCTGGTGGCCTCCATATTGGCCACGGTGCCATTGACAATCCGACCCGGATCGGCACTGAATCTGGGACGTATATGCCGTGAGTCCAGCCTAGCACCTAAGCCGTACAAGAGGAATTAGAAAAGGCATCAGAAGATGTAACTGCTTCAATATGGGCACACATACCGCTCGCTACCAGATAGAGACCGAAGAGCACGGCAAAGATCGTTGCCCGTTTGGGAGCCATGTGGAGTATTCGTATTTACGGTACGAGCTGAGAACGTCAACTAAATATACGGACCGTCAGGGCCACTTGGCCAGCCAATTGCTATCGTCACAATTAAATCTGGCAATACATGGCCGACATAATCTAATCAGCCCTCACCGGCCGGACCCACCCACTTTGTAAATTTTGTTGGGTAGATTCTTTAATAACGGACAGCTAGTCCATTCCATCCGCTGGAGTACCAAACGGGGCATGGCTATAGGGTGTGCACGTGGCTGTATTGGTGAAATTCTCAAATGTGAAACATTTTGATGGATTTTCCCAAACGCACCCATGCAATATACTATGTGCCCACGATTGTCATATCAATGGGTTTAACACAAGATCCATTTCGATTTACGGCCCTATAAAGTCATGGAGTTGCTCAACGATATCAACAAATTGTTAACTATTAATTATTCAATCGAGTGAACTACCATGTGAAGCAGAAACTTATCTCTGCTCTTAGAATCTAGCTTAACAGAAGTTTTGCTAATTTTTTTTTTTCGATATTACAATAATAGATTAATGATAAAGTAGTCCAAGGCTTTGGATTTTTACAAAGATCTCTTTTAAAGGTATTAAGGCATTAATATATACATATATTTGTTTTGACTTATAAGAGTCCCTATCTGTAGCTATAAATCAAGAGGTTTGAATATTCTGACGAATTCTGACAAATGTTTGCTTGTTTTATAATTCATATAAATTAACCAGATTGTAAGACACGCGGCTCAAAGGCGTCACTCGATTCTCGAAATTGTTTTGGGTTTTTTTTTTTCGCGGATTTATAAATAAATGTATAATGAATATATCAGTAATACATAGAAATCAATTTCGCACTTAGGAGCTGGTTTCATTGATTAGATAAATTCAATTATTTCATTGACCGAACACGAGGCTGAGGCACTTCAGATCCAATTTCTGGCCCTGCTCTATTTACACATCTGTTGAGCAGTAATCGCAGAACTAACATGACAAACAAATAACAAATACAAATTGAAATACCTACAAAAGAAATAATATTTATTAATTTCTTTCCAAATAGTTTAGTTGTCTGACAGCCACAAAGATGGCCAAAACAGTCAGCTTGGAGCCCACGACAGTTCTCGCATCGCTGCTGTAGTACGAATAGTCGAGCGAGCGATTCGTCTTCTTTATCCAGTCGACATAGTATAAAACATTCGTATAGACGCCAGGTGAGTCTTGGGCAGCACAATATCTTCCATAGGAGACGATGCCCACGAGCGTATTGTGGCACTGCAGCGGCCCTCCGGAATCGCCCTGGCAGGAATCGATGCCGCCGCTCATATACCCTGCACATAACTGGGCAGCGGTTATATACCCATATTTGGCATTGCACTCCGTTTGGCTGATCACGGGCACAGTTGCCGATTGCAGAGTTTGCGAAGAAGTACCACCCTGAAAGCAAACAATAGTCGATTAATCGATAAATTTCCAGATCAATCGATAAGTCTCCTAATCGATCAGTAGGCAAATGAAGAAAATGACGAGAAACTTAAAAGCGATAAGCATAATTTCGAAATTATATGAAAATTGCAAATAAGATAAGCAGTTCGAAATCAAGAATATTAATATGAAAGCCAACATTAATCGACTTATCGATAAGTCACATTATCGATCAGCAGGAAAATTAAAAAAATAAATAAATAAAATAGTTGCCAATATGATGAGAAACATAAAAGCGAAAAGTATAATTTCGAAATTATATGAAAATACCAAATTCTAAATTCAAAAAAGCATTTTTAAAACAAGAAATGAAATTTCTTACGGTGACTGTGCTACCCCAGCCGGAGATCAGGCAGGGGGTACCAACATCGGTGGTAACCCTGGCAAGTGGCAGAGCCCGAACGATCGATTTCCAGGGTATAAAGCCATTAATGAATATCAGGGCAATATCGTTCTGTAAGTTTGTCGGATTGTATTGGGGATGGGGTATCAGCTTCTGCACATTATACTGCTGCATTGTTACACTTCTGGTCTGAAGGTAGCTGTTGCCCATGATCAGCACAAAATCTTTGGGGGATCGCATATTTCTGCTTCTTCCGCTGCAAACGAAACAAACAAACAAACAAACATGATATACGGCTCGGCCACATTGAGAGATTCACCCACTCGTAGAGACAATGAGTCGCCGTGACAACCAAGCGCTGGCTAATAACCGTGCCTCCGCATATGTGACCACGCCCGAACTGTTTCCTGTCAATTTGCTTCAGACGCAGCGAGATCTGATATGGCGTCCTGCTTATTTCGGTAACGGTGCCACCCACAATCTTGAAGTGCACCGAGTCGTCTTGGCATTTGGATAAAAAGAAATAAATTAAGACTTCATTCATAGTTAACACCCATATTAGTTATCTATCACACAACATTTGCGTCATAAACGAATCGTATTAGATATATGTTTGGTATCTAATCGCAATTTGAACAATTCCAAAATTAGTGATATCACAAAACTGGCGGAGTACATTCCGCCACAGTCGCATCGCAACGTTGTAACTGAGAGGATTGATCACGCGAAGCGGATAGAGGTTTTCCGAATATCAGATGTACTTGTCAATTATATTGATATATGTATATTACGAATTGTTGCGCCTTTCCACAATTATTAAATAATTTTATGCAAACAAGTGCTGTACATTTCATACATTTCCAAGCAGAATGGCTTTAAAAACCAACGCCAACTCATTCAAAAAAAATCAAATCGTAAACAAAAAAGTTTGCAGAGAAATTGACTCGAATATGGAAAGCAGAACATTTGTGATATTGCATTCAAGCCTTAGCTTACAATTTCGTATATGTTTCAAGTCTTTGGACACTTAAGAAATACAAATAAAATATAATATTTGCGATTTAAGACAGCTTATGCGTAAGAAAATCTATTGTTATCGAAAAGGTTTCGATTAATTAGAATTGAAATCGATTTCAATACTTGCTGAAATTCGGAACAGTCACAAATAAGTAAAAAAAATTACACATGTACATTCAGATGCCAAATGAGGAAATATATCCGATTGTGCCCTTACTCACCCGCAGTCGCTGGCTCCAGTTGTGATAGACAGGTGACTATACTGAACACTTTTATCAACGAGATGAGCATGTTTTGCAATTTTGATGCCAAAAGTGAATACAAACCAAGCCAAAATGAATCCAAAATAAATTAAAAAAAAAAGCAATCACACGTATACGTTTGTAAAATACTTGATAGAACATGAACATTAATAAAATATGAAGAAAACACATAATCCAAAAAGGGCTTGGTTAAAGGTCGTGCACGTGCAATTCTCAAGCGTGAAACATTTAGATGGATTTTCCCGCATTTCGATTTACGGCCCTATAAAGTCATGGAGAGCTTATCTCTACTCTTGGATTTTTCTAAAAGAACTTTTGTCGGACTGCGATTTATAATTCAGTAGTGCAATATTGACAAGATTTTGCAATTTAATATGGATATAGATATATAGATACATATATATTTTTGTTTTACTTATAAAAGGCGCTACAAAAGGTAGCTATAAAATCATGATTGCATATTCTAACGAATTCTTTAAAAGGTTTGCTTGACAATTTTCGCTTGAAGTAAAATTTTATATGGAAATGTGCATTTAGATATTGGGTTAATAACATCAAGTGCTTTATATAAATATAACATCGTAAGGACCTATAAAATTAATTAATACAATTTACAATATGGTTTAGATCAACAGATCTAAACATTCAACATTTCGCCTAAATAATTATTTACAATTTTGTCTATAAAGGCTGAAAGACGCCTTCCTGCTGTTCTTCGACTGATTGCATATTCGGTGAGGTGTAACTGGCTTTTCATAAATATGTGCACTTCTAAAATAAGTTTTTGCTCTTCTACAATTGAAATGAGTCAAAAATATTGCATTAACAAAACAAACTGGTCTCACAAGCATTTCGGCTATGATATAGAAAGAGAGGAAAAGCGCGCAGCAATGAAACCTATTGCTATCTTTATCGTTTTTAGATGACATTATGTTCCTCTAGCATTTTGTTGGTTTGCTCCGCTGTGCGATTGATCAACTGCATGATTTCATCCAGTTCATTTTTGGTCGATTCTATGGCTGGATTTCTTTCTGGATCTATTGCAGTTGGTACTTCAATGCTTGGTTCCTGCTTTATCTCAGCTTCAGCTTTGACATCGGACATGGCTTCCGCAAGGCTAGCCTCTAAATCCGATTCCTGACTTTCAGTATTCTTATATTGCAGCTGTGGCACACGGCGACGCTGCAGCACCTTGCGTTCCACATGTTGTCTGCCCGTTTCCATTGCCTTGCGTTTTCTGCAAGCAAGGTTTGAATTTAGTAACCTGATATTGAACCTGCGATTTTGAAATGTTTGGCAAACCTGTTGCGTGGACTTATTGATTTTGCTGCACTTGAGGCTGCTGTGCTGCATGGTATTGTGTTAGCCACATCGGCGGACACGGGCGGCACGCCCACGGCCGTTTCGTTTTTAATAATGGGCGCTGTGGCGGGCACTCCATCCAAGGCTTGGCCCACTTTTACGTAGGCGGCCACAGCCGCCAGCAGCTGCTTGTGTTGCACATGAAAAGCCTCCACATCGTAGGGCTCTGTGGCCACGGTGGCTGTAATAATGCAAATTCACATATATAATAAATAATTTAGATATGTAGACGCCTTCTTACTTCTGCGCAGCTGAGCGCCTTCTATGCGATACTGTTTGAGTTCTATGTCCTTTTTCTTAACGACATCGAGCAAGGACTGCAGATTTTCGTTTAGATAGCTGGCGGTATGAAGCGCATCCTTCAATAGGCAACGATAAAACTGCAAAATAAAAGCATGACATGAGTATACACTTGGTTAGCTTTAGAAGCTGTTACCATTGCACTGTCCACGCCGGTCAAGTGCCACTCCCATTTAAGCGGCGCCGGTGCACCATCAATGCGGTATTTCAAACTGAGCACAGAGTGCAGCTTCTGCTGCTCCGGCTCAGGTTCCGCCTCATCCGCTCCGTTGTGCTGGACGCATCGCAGTGTAGCCTCTGTCGGATAAGCGCTACTTAAGGCCGTGCGCACCGCTTTTATGGGAAAGTGCACGCGTTTGTTCAATTCCTGTTGGTATCATTTTATCATCAAATTAGACAGCTTTTGGCAAAGTCTAGCAACAGGCAGGCTCACCCGAATACGCTGCTGAAATTGTGTCACAGGCAAATTTTCATTGTAGCTCAGTTCGTTTATTTGATCGTGACAATAAAATTGCAGCACGTCATCATAGTCTTCATCGCCACTTAGGAAACTAATTAATTGCACATCATTTAAATGAATTATCTTCAAAGTCATGTTTCAGCCAAACGCAACACAACACAACATAAACAGCTGACAGCTGAGCCGGCCCGGCCAGTCGTACGATTCGCGTTTATCGGACCGCGGAACTAGTTCATTGCGTGGAACGAACGCAAACTTATCGATTGCGCCTGCAAACGCGCGCGTTAAAGGCGCTTTATTCAAATTTGAATTTAAAAATATACGAAATATATTCAAAGCCGTTAAGAAAAATTACGAATATGATTAATGCGGCTGTGCTGTCATTTAAATTAAACAACATTTCGTGCATTTCATGTGATTTTGTTTTAATCATATCTTGTTTATATGTAATACTTTTTGTTTTTGTATTTTTTTTTTTTGTTGCCTTTACTTGTAATATTATCAAAAAATTGTTTGCGTACTCTTTTTTTGTTTGTGTCTCCCCATTTAATTATGTTTTTTTTTTATGTTTTCGAATAACTAGTTAAATTGTATTTAAATTTTACTACTGACAGAAAATAGCTAATTCATTCATATTGAATGCTAGATAATACCATTCTAGTACAATACATATTTATAATATTTGTATGTATACATATATAATTAACTAAGACGCATAATAATAGTAATATGTGTGTATATATATATTATATATATATATATATATATATATATATATATATATAGTAAAACAGTTGTAATTGTAACATGCAGAAATTTATGAGGAAATCTGGATTTTTTTTTTGTTTTTCATAGTATTTTTTTTTTGTTTTGGTTCAGGAAAGGTTTTGTATCGCGTTTCATTAGATTAACGCCGATTATCTTAAACTAGCCTCGCGCTTAACTTAACTGTCTTTTTTATTTTTTGTTTGTTTTTTTGTTTTTTAAAGTGCGGTCAAGTGCCATAAATATGTTAGCCTAACAAATTGTGCTTAAAACATAAGCTTAGACGCAACGCCTAGATTAATCTCGGGCGACGTTTGAGATTTTGAAAGTTTTTCGTTGGTTTTCATATCTGCGGACGTGTCCAGAGCTCGCTGAGATCCTTCTGGCGCAGCTTACCAAGCTCTGCAAATGACAAGAACATGATTTTAAGTGAAATTAAGTGAGATTAAGATTAAGTGGCATCAGTGCCGTACCCAGCTGTGCGGGCAACACGCTGCTGCTACGGAAGCTCAGATCGAAGCGCGGCTGCACTGCCATCTGGCTGGCTGCGGAGGAGGCGGAAACGGCAACGGAATTCCGAAAATTGGTGCCGCTGTGGAATGCGAATGAGGCACAGTTAGACGTAGTATATATGGCCAACATTGTGGCGCTCACCTATATGGATGCTTCAGGCAGCCGTAGACCTCCCGATAGCGGCCGTAGAGTGTGCCATAGGAGACGCCCAAAATGCGTGCGGCTTTCTTCATTTCAAGTCTTTTGTTTTTGATGGCATCGAGCACCTAAATCGATGAGAAATCGGATTACTCATTATACACTGTTCGCAATCGGGCGGCACTCACGCGCTTGGTAAATGGCTCCTCCCAGAACTGCGGACGTCGCCCCTTGGCCAAATAGTCATCCATTTTGATAACATCCTGCCACTGCGTTAGCTCCTCATTGGTCAGCCGCAATTCGGCTGCATCGTAATCCTCCAGCTTCACTTCGGCATAGTCGGCGCCATGCTCGACACCGCCTGCCGCCGGATTGTTGCCATTCCCATTGGCATTGCCATTGGCGGTGGCGGCAGCAACAGCTGCCGCTGCCACAGCCGCCGCAGCCGCCGCACTGGCCACACTGGGCGCAAAATCGTGGGCCATGAGCAGGCTGTGATCGTTGATCAAGTAACCGCCGGCTCCGGTGGCTTCGCCGTGCGTGTACTTGCCGCCAAAGCCGGCGGGCAGCAGTGCCGAGGAGCGTGTTGAGGCGGGCGATTCCGCACGATTGGCCACCAGATGCTCGTTCTCAATCTCCTCGATGGGCTGCGGCAATGCGCCGCTTGATGCCTCCACCTCCAGCTCCACCTCCGCGTCCGCCTCCGCCGCCTGCTCCGTCTGCGGCGACTCGCTCGCTGTTGTTGTGGCGGCAACACGATGCGCACGCGCCGCCTTCTCCTCGCCGGCCTTCTCGCGCTCCCCATATAGTCGACGCGTGGCATGACGCAGCTTGCCATGGCGCTCGCGACGCTCTGCCGGCTTGTCCTGCTTCCTGTTGGCACTGGACAGCGGCACAGATGCTGCTGCTCCTGCTCCTGCTGCGACTGCTGCTGTCTGCACACTTGGCGCATCATCGCTTAGTTCCAGCTCTGTCTTGAGCTCCACTTCGCTCAGCTTAGGCGTCATGCTGCCTTGGCCACGATCCGAGCCATTTGCCCAATCCTGTGCTAAACCCACCTCGCGCTCGCCCAGCTCCGTTTCTGCTGGCGTCGATTGTTGCTGCTGCTGCTGTTGCTGCTGTTGCTGACGCAGTCGCTGGCGCTGCTTGGGCGGGCAGGCGGCGGGCGGCGAGGCCAGTGCGGCGGAATGTGCTACGGGCAGCGGCTCCTCGGCAAAGGGACGCGCTGACTCCAAAAACGCGCGCTGTGTGGGCTCCAAATTTGCTGCATATTGAGCCAGTTTACGTCTGGAAAGGAAGGAATATGAATATACATATAACAGGAGGCAATTTGCTTTGCCTTATTCGGTGAAGCACTCACACATTGAATACATCGTAAGTGTCGTCGAGAGGCGGGCGACCTCGTTTGCGCTTGGGTCCGAGATACGGATCAACGGGCGCTCCGGATTCCAAGCTGGCGCTGGCACTATGCAGGGGCGTCAGTGCCGGCATACGGCTGCCGGCATTCAGGCCCAGGGCATTCTCGAGGGCCGCTGGCGAATGGCGTTCGCGATCCCGTTCACGCTCGCCGCCGAGCTGCGGCTGCAGATGCGGAGTCTGCTGATGGAGCATGTCCTG